CATGTAGCTGCCCCCCATAGTGGGATAATGCTTGTTGTTGTTGGAGAATAATCAAGAGCAAGATAGGAATTTAATTTTAAGTGAAGAGAAGTTGGGATTTTAGAGTACCATATGCTCTTTTTTGGAAAGGTGATCTCTACTGTTGCCAAAGTATAATATCATTAGTCACCTTTCACTACAACTTTGGTTGCTTATAGTTAAGCTCATTAGGGGAGGCATGATTGGCTATGATAAAGGTGGATGTGAATAGTGTTGAGCTCAAAAAGGAAGGCATCTAAATCCTAGAGATGAATGTCTAGCCAACAGGAGCCATCAAATACATGCTTTGACTACTAAACAACCCATAGTATCACTAAAAAGCTCCTCGACAAAGTAATAAGTCACTCGCATTTTTGTATAAAAATGTATGCCACAAGTATAGAATTTTGGGGAACAAGTTATGGAAGTGTACGTAAAGTTAGAGAGGGGGAGGTTGAGTAAAAAAGTAATGTACAACAAGACGGGGAGGGGGTCGGTGATGCATGAGGAGAGTTTTAAAAATTTTCTAAGGTAAGTTTACGTTTTAAAAATTGGGTTAAGGTTAGTATTAATTATGAGACAAGATCTTAAGAAGGTGATGCATCAATTATGGTGTTTGGTGACCAAGAAATAAAATGTTGGAAGCACTTGTCATCGACGATTTGACATGATTTTCCATAAAAATTAGGGCAAAAACATATTTTATTACAAGAACATCAAACACTCAAAACGAGTGTAAGGATAAACAAAATAAAATGTTGGAAGCACTTGTCATCGACGATTTGGCATGATTTTCCATAAAAAATAGGGCAAACACATATTTTATTACAAGAACATCAAACACTGAAAACGAGTGTAAAGATAAACAGCTATAATTCGAGAGGTTTGCGATCTCTCCCACTTCCTACAAATCGAGAGGTAGGAAATCTTTATCAAACCCTAAACCTAAGACTCGGAACAACAATCTCATGCATTACCCCAACCCTAAACATATTAATCATATTTATACTAACAACAATAATAATAATAGTAAAAGACTAAATTGCTCTTAGACTGATAAAAGACAAAATTATCCTTATGCTAGGCATCAGCGCGACAAAATTCATGCGGCCAAAATTAACATAAAGACAAGTTATAAACAAAGAAAAAAAATCAAAGGATAATGACACAAATGCTAAAAATTTGTGCATAATCCATAGTTATCGTGTTTATCAATCAATGAAAATAATTACAGATACAAAACCAAGATAGTAATAACTAATTCTGCCATAGATGAAGAAGATGCAAGTCAATGAAGATATAAGGACATTATACTTTAGCCTTTTAAAATATGACAGTATTATACTCATGTTTACATAGTGGTGACAATTGAACTTAAAGCATCCGTGTACTAAAAGTTCCTCTTTGACAATGAAAACATGTGATAAGATACAAAAGAACCATGTGTCAATTTGTCTTTTAAAGCATCCATGTACTAAAAGAAGGAAGAAAGAGAAAGGTATAGGAAAACATGCTAATAATAGAATAATTTGCATGTGTTTTAGAACCTCTATGTATAATAAAAGATCCTATAAGATAAAACTAAATAATCAAACTTCTCATGTATCTACACATAATCATGCGGCCATGAAAATTAACATAAAGACAAATTATAAACAAATAAAAAAAAATCAAATGATAATGACACCAATGCTAAAAATTTGTACATAATCCATAGTTATCCTATCTGTCAATCAATCAAAATAATTACAGATACAAAAACAAGATAGTACTAATTCTGCCAACGATGAAGTAGATGCAATTCAATGAATATATAAGGACATTATACTTTAGCCTGTTTAAATATAACAATATTGTAAGTAATTTTACATAAGTAGTGCCAATAGAACTTAAGGGGCTGTTTGGCTAAATCTAGATTTATTAAATCCATCCCTTTGTTGGATTTATTAAATCTGGATTTAACCTGAATCGAAAACAAAATTTGGATCTTAAATTTAAATTTCAAAAATCCATAGAACTTGCGTTTTTTTATGTTTGGCAGGATTTAGTAAATCCGACAGATAAATCCTATTAATAGGGTGCTACCAAACAACCCCTAAAACATCCATGTAGTAAAAGCTATTTATTCATGGATCGTCAGCAGGTCATTTAAAGGAGCATATTTAGAAGTTAAAGTTAGTTACACATAATTACATTTCATTTTCACATACAATAATGACGCACAAAAGTCACGATCTTCTACTCCATTTCCATAGACCCACTTTATTTGCATTGATTTAATCTCTTGCTAATAAGAGCCAATACAAAACAAAGCAATAGAAAAGTTGACAAGTGAAAGAAATTTGATACCAGGAATTGACAAAACCAACAACAATATGTTACACCCACCCCTACAGGCAATTTAGCTTTTTGTTATTTATTCTTGTTTGGTATAAAAAGCTTAATAAGTTAGGGTTATGGCATGATATGAGATTGTGGTCTTGAATCTTAGGGTCAGGGTTTTGGGAGAGATCATATACCTCTCGAATTGTAGGTGCTACAGTTAGAGTTTGGGAGAGATCATCTACCTCTCAAATTATAGATGATTATCTTTATGCATTCGAGTTATGTTGTTTTGTGCTATTGAAGAAAAAATTTCGATTGCCCTAATTTTTGTTGAAATCTATCCTGATTCATTTCAAATTGGTTGATATCAAAGCTGCTCAACTAGAAATCTTTCTCGGCGAAGACTATTATTCTTGGAGGAGACTTGCAAATGAAGGACTCACGCCATACACTTGTCGGTGTTGCCCTTGTGACCGAACATCGCAATTAAGTGGCGATCGAGCTAGTTAGGAAGCAAAGTTGGGATCTTGGTGTACCACGTCGCTAAACAATGTGGGATTGCGGCAATCACGTAACAACCGCGACTCGAGCTAGCTGAAAGCCAAGGGACTCCGATGTACAAGCTTCTATGACAAAAAATAAAAGTCACAATTCAAGTTGTTGGAAAGCCAATTGGACCATAGCATACAGGCGCCAAATGCGAAAGTCGCAATTCGAGTAGTTTCGCGACTAACTAGATCACAGCATACAGGCACACATAAGTTTCATTTTATTAATAAAAAAATTACCGTGGAGTAATGGATGTCAAAAAAATAGATGTTTTGGAAGAGAAATTAAAGGAGTAGATAATTCAAATTAGATTTGAAATAGATGAGTGTTTCCTGGTCATGGAGGAGAGGTTCAGGGGGAGATTCACGACCCTGGAAGAAATGATGATGAAGATCATAGAGTTTCACGCAAACCCGTCGTTGCCTGCCTTGGGATCGAGGGACGATGTCAAGATCAGACACAAACAACAACAATCTAAATGATTGATCAGGCATTAAGGCAGCGTCGTTGCCTTAGGTGAATCTAGAGTTGCGAGACCAAACGAAGAAATCGAAGCAAACTTAAGGGGCAACACTTGGAAGGAATGTCATGACATCAGGACAACTAAAATAAACGGAAGCAGTCGGAATTGAGCGAAGGTGAGCGAAGGAGTCGGGAGCAGACTCTAGCGATGAGCAGACTCTAGCGATGGCACTTGAAATAAAAAGTACAGCATCCAAACGGCTAGAACAAACAGAAACAGGCGAGATTTAGCGAAGTAGGAAATGAATTCGAGGGACAACATATTGAGAATTCGAGGGACAACATATTGAGGAAATGGTTCAGCATATGGAGATTTGGAACAAGTGGCAGCGAGTGGAATAATACGATGTGTGATTCAGAGTTGGAGAAGATCAATTCGAAGAATTATGGCCTAGAACAAGGAATCATGTTGGGTGGTACCCCAGCGAAGAGATGCATCCAACTGCATCTGTGTTTTTTGTTGTCGTTGCTTTTCCAAGCGAGAAGGCCATTCAGAAATAATTATGGAAACCAGACAGGTAGAGAAGAGCAGGGGGAGTTCGCAAGGGAATGATTTTGACACTGCTGAGTTTTCAGGAGGGAGAAGAGATGGTAGTGCTTCGCAGTGACCCTAGTTAGTGGAAGACCTAGGGTTGGCGGATCCATCATTGGTGGCAGCTATGTTGAGAGTGGCCACTACCTAAGACCTTAAAGGGGTTGAGAAGATTTTTGGAACTTACTGGATACTACCAGAGATTCCTGAAGGGTTGTAATTTGATTGTGTGGCCGTTGACAGAGAAATTGAAAAACGAAAACTTTTAGTGGGAGGTGGCGACTCAGAATTTTGAGAAGTTAAAGAAAGTCATGACGAGTGTTCAATATGAGTGTTACCAAATTTCTGTCAACCTTTCATTGTAGAGACGGATGTTTCAGGCTATGGATTAAGCGTAGTCCTCATGCAGTGTCAACAACCCATCACTTATTTCAATCAGGTAATGACGACGAGAGCCGAACTAAAGTCAATTTATGAGTGGTAGCATACGACTTGATCTCCTAGCAGTTTCATTTTTTCCCACCTCGAGAACAATTTGACTTTTTGGGAGGGGAGTAATGTCACAGTGGCACCTACATTCATTTATTCTTTTGTTATTAATTATTGTTTGGTATAAATTAGGCTTAATATATTAGGGTTAGGGTATGCTATAAGATTGTAGTCTTAAGTCTTAGGGTTAGGTTTTGGAAGACATTGACTACCTATCGAATTGTGGGTATAAGGTTAGGATTCGGGAGAGATCACCCACCTCTCAAATGGCAGGTGTTTATCTTTATGTATTTGAGTTGACTTGTTTGGAGTTATTGAAGAAAAGATTTTGTTTGCCCTAATTTCACTAAAAATTTATCTTGGTTCCAATCACAATCACAAAACTAACATATTTCAGTGCATAAAACCCAAGTAGATGGTTTGCTCTGATACAGCTGACCGATTTAGAAAAATGATGATTTGGTTAAATGGCTTTCTGAGAATGGAAGCATGAAACTATACACCATCAATGAAGGACAGTGAAAACTTTTAAAATTCGAACAGCAAACATGAATGTAACACTCACAAATCACTTTTTGACATATATCGCTTGACTATCATCTCATTCTGTTGAGCATCTCTACCACTAATGATCAAATAATTTTCACTGCTGATAAACCAGTTGAATTTCTCAAACCAGTGAACTTTGCGCATGTGAGAAATTGCGGCAACTGTCTTTTCCTGCAAGGCAAGCAATAATTCCAAAGTTATCAAGGTACAAACAGCTTTGCGGCAAGCAAATGCCGCTCTGGCTGGTAAGGAGCCTCTAAATGTTTTGAACAGCTTAATACTTCACACAAAAATAAGGATTATCATAACATACGGTTTCGCATCTAAATGTTTTGACAGTTTAAATAGCTTACACCAAAATAAGAATTACTGTAACATATTATTTCGTATCCTCCATTTTCCTTGAAACATTTTTAATTACCCTGCCATTTTATCAAAGTAAAAGTGTCCCTTAGATGAATAGGATTGAAACAAAGCAATACTCCAGCGACAAAAAAACAGTAAGGGCAATTCCATACATAGCACACGTTTCTTAAGTATTTTCATATTTCACACCTAAACTTTCATATTTACACACACAGCACTTAAATCTTTAATATCAGATCAAAATAGCACTATTACCACTTTATCATGCATAGGTTTCAACCACAAAGTGTCATGTATATAAATATGAAAGTTTAGATGTGAGATATGTAATTACATAAGAATTGAGTGCTACGTATGTAAATCTCCCAAAACAATAATACCTGAGCAAGCTGAAGACGTGTCTTCTTTTCAGCTGCTTTGAAAGCTTTCTCATGAGCTGTTAGAGTTTTTTCTTGTTTGAACTCCTGTTTCTTTTTTAGTTCATACCAACTCCGAGCATTTGCATGAGCAGATAGTGCTAAATCTACTTCTACCTGAAAATTTTCATCATACTAAATAAACAAACCAACCAATAAAAAATGTTCCAATTAAAGTCAGTATTTAGATAACCAAATGATAAAAGGTTGCAAGTCATCCGATTTCATTTAATAAAAGAGGCATTTACATACATAGCACACAATTCTTATGTATTTACATTTCTCACACGTAAACTTCCATAATTACACACAGCACTCAAATCTTCAATACACATAAAAAATAGCACTATTATCACTTTTTAAAAGTCAAATACAACTTTTCATTCATTGTTTAAAAGCACTAAAATGCTATGTATGTAAATATGAAAGTTTACGTGTGAGATATGTAAATACATAAGAATTGAGTGCTATGTATGTAAATTTGCCTTAAGAATATATAGAGAAATTTAAATAAATAGCAAATAATTTTTATGTATTTACATATCTCACATCTAAACTTTCTATTTGCATACATAGCATTTTGATTCTTTAAACCTATGCACGAAAAGGTGCATTTCACTATTAAACAGTGGCAATAGTGCTATTTTTTATGTGATAGTAAAGATTGGACTGCTATGTATGTAAATATAAAGATTAGGTGAGATATGTAAATACATCAGAGTTGTCTGCTATGTACGTAAATGCCCCGAATGTATAAACATATATTGCAGTAGCTGCAGAACAAAATGGGGAAGAATATAAGCCATAGGATAAGAGGTTCAGAACCCCCTCATAGTATGACAATGTTATCAGGTCTTCTTGTAGAAACGTACATAAAAAGATAAGCGGGCTTTACATAAATGCCACCCAATTCTTATGCATTTACATATCTAACACCTAAACTTTAATTCTTACATTCATGTCACCCAAATCTTTCACATCACATCAAAAATAAAACCATTTCAACTTTAAAAAGTGAAATACACCTTTTCATGCCTCAGGATTATGGCATGTATGTAAAAAATAAAGTTTAGGTGCTACATAAGTAAATACATAAAAATTGAGTAGTATGTATGTAAATCTTCCCAAGACAAAGCGTCCATTTCTATTCTGCTATATAAACTAGTTCAAGAACACGGTCTAGTGTTACCACAGGAGTGTTACCTTGTCAACTGGGCAAGTTTTTTCATCTTCATCCATTTCATCCAAGTTATTGCTCAGCAACAACGTAATGCAATTTCTTTCAAGATGGAGTTTGTCAATGAGACCAGCAATAGGATTTCCAGCTCTCTTCTCTTCCTTCACCATTCGTACAAGATCATCCCAAGACATTCCTTTTGCAAGAGCAACACGAACAGCTAAGATGGCGGCATCAACATCTTCCAAGTTATATTCAATTAATTCCGCCATTTTAATGGAATGGTCCACTTCTTTCTTCAGTGTAAATACACGATTTTCCTGCACCACAACACTCAGAAGCGAGTTTATTTACAAAATGCAGTAGGCCAGTAAATTATTTAAATGTAACTACTGCTGCATTAACAGTCTAAATATAATCATGCAAAATTTAGGGGCCATTTGGGATCACTTTAGATTTTTTGTTGATTTAAAATAAAATATGTTTGATATGATATAATATATTTAGTTATTTTTAAAAACATTGAAAACAATTTTTCAATTTTTTGAATGTTTTAAAAACAAGCTACTTTGTTTTTAAAGAAAAAAATAATAACATGCAAGGAATATACTAAAAAAACATATTTTTATAATAAAAATGAAAACAAAAAATAAAAAACAAAGTGATCCCAAATAAGGCTTCAAGGAAAAGGAATGCACCAAGTTGAAGAGCATTTGTTTCTCTTTTTGTTCGATCAGCTTGATCGCATAAATAGTTGCATAACTAAAGAATAACTAGTTGGGAAATAACACCGAAAGTTTGATATTTACACTTTAACACTTTGGTGTCATAAACCTATACATGAAAAGGAGTATTTTACCTTTAAAAAATAGTGATAGTGGCAATTTTAATGTGATATTAAAGTTATGAGTGGAATGCATGTAAATATGAATGTTTAGATGTTAGATATGTAAATATATAAGAATTATGTCGTATGTATGTAAATGCCCCCAAACTAGTAATAATGTTGTTGTTGAATCCAGATTTATCCTTAAATCACTCCTAAAGGAATTAGAGTTTTAGAAATGAGAGAGAGAGAGAGAGAGAGAGAGAGG